ACCAATTGTGTAGAGGACGAGTATCATTTTTGCATTATCTGTCCGTTTTACCAAGAGTTGAGATCTAAATACATCCCAAGTTATTATTATACACTTCCCTCACCCGAAAAATTTATATCGCTATTACAATTACAAAATGCAGTAATCTTGCGTAATATTTCTAAATTTATTTTTTTCACCACAAAAAAACGTAATACAATTATTTTGGTCTGACAGTTCATGTTCTTTTCATATTTTCTTGTTCTTTTTCAATCAATGTTAAATGACATTGTCCTCTGTAACATGTTATGTAATTACAATGAGTATACCCTTTATATATTATAAATATTTATATTTATATTTATTATAAAAACAACAAATAAGTTTCAAAATTTGGAGTGACAGTAATCTAGTGTCAGTGAACATTTTAGCATACTTATATAACACACTAAGTGATTGTGTGACAGAACACGGTATGGCGGCAGACCACGTCTTACCACACATAGAATAGTGTTTTCTTCTAGTTTTTCTAGCAATTATGCGCTAATTGCATGAGGCTTCTAGCAATATACATGTAAATAAAAACATTTAGATTTTGTCAATGTCACATGTACCCGAATCGTTTTTTATATTTAAACTACTGTATCGTACGTGGTGATCGTATCACGTATTGGGATGTTCTGTACATTTGCAATATAATGTCTTCAGTGAACCAAAGTTTTTACCGGAACAAAATTGAATGACAGAAATTTACTCCTTTTTCAATCGAATGTTCTTTTAAACCACAAACAATGAAAACACGAGTCTCATTAGTATCCTAGTAAATGTTTTACGGGATTCAGCTCATAGTACTTGCATAGCTTCCTCCCATTGTCGTTTGGTATCACAGTTTCTGCAGAAGTCAGAAGGCCGACAAATTCGACTGGAGTGGCTATAACTCTGAATCATTTTCAATTTTATTCGAATATGATTTATTATTCAAATTAGAGTACAGCCACTTTAATGAAATTGATGTAATGTATGTTTCGTCATTTGACAGCATTTTACAATTGTAAAATGCTCTTCAACTTTTACAGTATTATTATATTTTGTGTGGTAATCTTTCTCCTCCTGCCTGATACAATTTCCGAACTGTAAATAAACAGGTTAGCATGAGAGACATACACACGTGTTATATCGTGTTATACATTACTCATAAAAGTCACATATTCTGGTATTTTCAAGAAAGACAAATTCACTATCAATTAGAATTTTTAAATTATTCTTCTAAAAGTTCGGTTGTATTCGAAGTTCAAAAAATTAGGGTATATTATCCTTAGAGGTCATGTATACAGTAAGAAACCCTGTGGTGGGCATTACTGGGCAATTTGATAATGTCAAAGTTTCATAATGTCGAGAAATGGAATTATATAATAATTTGAAAAGAATTGTTGGTTGCTGAAAACAGATCTGAATATACAAAATCAGGAGTTTCCTGTTTGGTCATAAAGTTAGTTTTCATTCTCTGAGGGTTCGGATTCACGAAAAACGGTGGTATTAGTTTGTATTGGCATAACTTTAAATACAGCATTTAATTGTCACCTAGAAGGTTTCTTTTTGGTGCGATATACATATTAGATGACTCGATTGTTATTGGTGTAATCTCATGGCCTGATTGAATCGTCGCCTAGGGAGTCACTTTTGAGTTGTATGCATATTGATTCCACTTTCTATTCGGAGAGCTCACTCAGGTGTTACACATTCATATGCAAATGAACAAACAATGCCGAGTAACGAGTCTTTCGTGAATCACACACACATACCAAATCAAAAGCTTCTCACTTCTGTCTTGGGTGTCTTGGTTTTACGGATGGTAGCGGTACTCAGCAACACGATCAACTGCCAAGTACAACGATCAAAGCAGTTATAGGAGTATTATAGCTTTCCATACGGTCCCGGCCACTGAGCAGTGGCATTTCGCGTCACCGGTGTACAAGTTTCGAAGACCGTTGGTCTCGCCTCACGTAAAAGGCGAGTGATCGAGAAAAGGTACCTGTCTGTGCCAGCCGAAGCTGTGCACCGGAGCTATTGGCAACTGTTGGATTCGATTAGTACTCAACAATCTTGATTGGTGTAATATTTCACAGTGTTTAGATCGTGTTTACCACAACTTTAAAGAATCGACCAACAATCATGGAGACTTTAATATTACTTTCCATTATTCTAACAAGTTGTGTGGTAGCTACGATTGGACAAACTCCCCCCGAAGGTAAGTCTAATATTTCAAAAATCGATATCCCGCCCTCGTGGGGGTTATTTTTATTTTGGATATATACACATTTTTTTTCTCAAATAAAAACATTGTTTTTAGCAAAGCAATTTTAACGCGCTAATAATAATCACATTTTTGTCGTCATGTTACCAACGCCCTAGCTGATTTTAGATAGTTTGCTATAACAACAAATTTTCTTACACCAATTGTTATTTCGTCATCAATTCAACTAACAACTAACAGTTAATGTTATAGCAGTGAAGAGGTCATGAAAAATGCTATAAGAATTAGTTTGTATTATTAATAGACGGGAGACGATTTCGCACTTTTTTAGTCAGGGCGTGACCCCCTGAGGGAAACTCCTACATGTCATGGGTCACATCGTTTTCTATTGAACACGTAAGATAATCAAAGCATAGTTTGAATAGAGATTGTGTCAACGTGTTTACGAGGCAGCCATGTTGCATATTTCTAGGGGTGACCACACAATTCACATTTTTCTTTAAATATATTATTTAACAACGATTCGTACTTTTATGGACCAGACATCAATGGCATTTCAGCGATTGTAGGAAAACATAATCCCAAGTCGATATGAATAAATTACTAACCAGCCATTTAAAATACTGAAACTGCTATGCGTCCATTTTGTTGATACTAATTTGGATACAGTTTATTGTGCGACACGGATAATAGATGTGCGAACAAACAATACTCTTCTGTTGTTAAAAATACGAGACATTATTCGTAACTATTGACCCACGACACGCAACTGAAAGTTCACGAGTAACTGTAACGCATCTGACAATTCTGTAGTAGCGACTGGTCTGTAGTAGCAACCGATTACAAGTATTCGAAAACTAAAGTATTATTGTTAAATCACTATTTTATCAAACAATATTTAATGGCAATCCATTTTATAACATACATATTGTATCCCTATGTAACCGAATACACTTTTACTATTATGTTAAGATTGGATTGTGTGAACCATTTCTGACGATGTTTTCCAAGCTTCCTTCACCGATTGTTCACAAGTTTACACGTAGTGCTACTGTATTTGTATTCCAGACAAGTACGTTGTTACTTCTGTATTTCGTTTATCCGTGATTCAAATGGAAACACAGCCCACCGGTTGTTGCCCTGTATTTAATGTTACTGACTCACAAATGTACATTGTCAGCCTTTGTAAACTGGACTATGCCCATGATTATAACCATTGTGTGTGTCAAAGTGTCTCCTGACTCACAGTCCCTCTACTGTGCCTGACTATATACTAGTAGATGAATTTATCCAGACGAAATTATTCTCGCAACAGGCTCGGTATGTGTTGCAAGTGGGGTTCTCACTTACCCACACAAACAATGTGCAATACTGGCATTTTTATGAAATTTGATTCTAAATATTAATATTTTCTATTTGGCAAATTGCCACTAATCTAACTCTTAAGCAAAACTGAATTTAAATTAACCAGTATCGCCCTTCTTAGATGTCCCTACTATTATGACGGAGAGTATTTCATGTATACCCTATTCGATGCAAGTCCATTGGTGGACAATGAAATAATGATTCATTCGTTGGTTCTGGAATGCAAGGTCGATCACACAGCGGTAATTGATATTCTAGTACACCTTTCTAGAATAGCCAAGCATATATATGGCTATTACAGTTTTATATTTCGTCAAATAACGTGGATAGAAATACTGAATCCACGGCTGATCGATTATATACGCTCTGTTCAACCGTATAAAGTGGTGTAGTAGTGCAGTTGCCATTGTGATTTATTTAAAAGCTCAAAATTCTCTTCGGGGAATTGAAATGCTTACATTGAACAACAAGACACATATCGAATATATTCACGTATTTTTTAAAAACATTTAATGGTCAGCCCGACGCGTGGATTTACCCCTTATCTGCCAGTGGTTCCCCTCGAAACCCTTTGTGTCAGTAAAATTTGCCCCTCAAAATGTATGGAATAGGTGTAGAGAATGTAGATTTCAAATTTGTTAAGGGAGAGCACGCCCAGGTACCCCATAGTAAAGTCGCGCTTTTGGCGCAAGCTTGGTGAGCAGATCTCGCAAAACTTCGTGCCGCCGCGTCTGTGGTCTAGCCGATATAAATGTACATGGGACTGGCAAGTTAAATCGTGAATATTGAAGATTTAAACCAAAGTAGATTCAAATTGGGTTCATGTTTTTTTTAAAACATTTAACGGGGAACCCGATGTGGATTTAAATCGCCAATTATGACAGTTAGATCTGGTTTTGGTAAAATGAATATATATTCAACAAATTGTCAGTATTGACCAATATATCCCGTGTGATTTAATATAACACGTAAGACAGATTTGATTTAATACTTTTTCCGCACCATACTCCTATCTGTGGATAGTTATCAGGAAATGTTTCCAAGTTTTCAATATTAGGCTGTATTACGCAATATTAGGAGTCACATAGGCGTCAAATGACACACATGATGTCCACTTCCCACTCCTAAGTGTGCCATTCACGAAAATATATATTGACCCGCAAACAAATTAATAAATGCCTACGCTATGAACATTTAAATTATTTAAAAACGTGAAAGCTATATTTAAAAACGTGAAAGCTTTGTACTGGATTTCTGTACAAAGATCAGATTTACCTTTAGTCTGGGTAAATTAAATCATCATTGAATGTGACAAATGGATCACCACTTGACATTGACAGTGACACTGCATTCCATTACGTTGACAACTTCACAATTCGTCTCTTGAACTGAAATTGAAAGGCGCGACAGGTAGTAGTGTATGTATTCGTGTTCCCTTTGTAAAACATCCAATAATTCAATTGCATTCATTGTATGGGAATTCTAAACCATGTTGACACCTCATAGTCTAGCAGTAGTGGTTATTTTTTTTTATTCACAGTCTATTCACTTCCAGAGACAGCTTATGACCATAGACCCTCATAGACTTAGTTTATGACTTTGTTATGACTTAGTTTCATATAAATACAACTACATGTAGTTTAGACTATATCTTCTATATTGCTATATTATGCAAATTGTATGACATAATAAAATGTTATGTGACATGCAATGTAAGTTTTCGTTTTATTATCATGTTCAATATGTTATTACATTGTACCTGTTTATTTAACGTCAAGTCTTTCACAAATAATTTTCTAGTGCCACTTCTCATCCACTATTCATATCACAGACCCTCCAACATTGTTGGAAGGATATGCCCACGCTGTGTCTTTATATCAATATTTAAGATAGAAAGAATGGGAATGTTTTCACGCGTATAAAGAAGAACAGAACCCTAAACGAGTTAATCACACCTGTTGATTCATTTCATTCTATCTGTCAAACCAGTGAATAGAATAAATACCATCTACATGTACTTCGACACTATTTATTTTATTACGAATTGTGTATTTTCTGGTGGTCACGGACCCCCTAGTACCGTAAGAAAGTATCATTTTTTATCAAAGACGCTGGCTGTTTATCTGAGGTAGTAATTACTCAATGATCACACCAGTATTTTTGACACGAAAGGGTCATCTGCTTGCAAGCCATTGTCTGCTCACAGGCTTTTGTATCTGTTCAGCCTTCTTTCCGCGAATTACGCAAAGACAATAAGCTATGGCGGCAATAAGCTGAGCGCCAAAGTACATTTGTACCTTGAAAATTGGTGCCTGTAAAGTTGAATCTCATAATAATTTAATTATGACATTAAAATTAAAAAAAACGAAATACAGACTAGTTTTGTAATCAACAGAGCGTTCTTTATGTTTCGACTTCTTTGTTATGTTTGGTCAGTCTACAACTAAGACCCATTCTTGTATGCACGTCTACGCTACTGGTATATATGGTCCGTGTTCTACAGTGTCTACGCTCATTTAAAAACTTGCGAGGATGTACAGAAATTAGTACACTGAAAATTAAGCCCCCACCCCACCCATTCCTTCAGCCCACCTTCCAACTTTCAAACGGGTAGTATACTATATTAAAACAATAATAAATAGTATTTGATCCGATTTTCATCTTGTGCGTACTGACCGTTGTACGATGTTAATACTTTATTCAACGTAGACAGATTTGAACGGGGTGCTAGTAAAAAGACGGTCTAACAATTGAATTACCCATTCATTGTTTACTTAAGTTTCTATGGCGGTGTTTCTGATTTCAGACCAAAACGACAGCACAACTCAATTGGGAGACGCTCGTTGTTAGCTTCAGTTGTTTACATGTAGTAATAGCTAAGAATTGTATCAGTGTGTGATTTGTATGCCTAACACCATCATGTATACTACCACGTATTTCTGTTTACTTACCCGACACCAAGCCACATGGGACTGCACGTATCCATTATATTACACTCTAAACGCTACCACTACCATCATGTTGAAAATATGGTGTGCAGCACCACCTAATAAATTCAATAAGAGCCCAGGCATAGGGATTGATTTACAAAGACAGTTCTACCAAATCAAATACGACGACATTATATAAAGCAGACATATGACTTTACGTTTTTATTAGGTCCAGAAAAAAACGAAATGTCTGACCAATCTGTTTTACGCAATCGACACACACATGTTTTAACATTGTGATTACAATTTATTTTTTTTTCATGAAAAAAAGAATTTATATTTAATTTTCTGAAATTCCGAGAAAAATAGGACACCGACGGGTACGTGGTGACGAGAGAGATTGCTAGAGAGCATATTCAGATATAGTGTATGCGAAACACGTGTGGCTTGGCAAAGGTTTCTAATATCGGGCGTGGCCACACCTTTACCTATCGAACCATTCAAGATAGCCTTGTTCTCTTTGTAACACGGCAGGACACGCGATTCAAAACATCAATGTAACCCTCTCATTCGGTCGCGCCACACTTGCATTTTTGTAGTGAGAGATTCAGACGTTGGCAAATTTATTTATGGTAACCGTAATGGAAGATGGCTAAGGTGAACAAGCAAAAAAAAAAACAAGTTTGCCGCTACTGTACC